TAAGATGGTTAGTCAGGGACTTACGTACAAAAACCACTTATTATAAACTAATCTAGGACTGCAAATCAAATCAAAATGCTCGATACTCGATTCAAAATTGTTCATTAAAAGCTTGTTTGAGCTCAGTTGTTAACATAATTAACTAACCAAACTTGAATCACATTTTTTTCTTCTTCTTTTTTTGTCGAAAAGCTATGAAGCTCAGTTTGAGTTCGAACTAGGTTATAAGAAATAGTAAAATATGTACAACAAATAATCTACTTGAGGTCGATTCATATCGACTCGATAAATGTTCATTCTAGTTCGACTCAGTTGCTTATCAAATCAAGCTCGGCTCTCGACTCGATTCGTTCGCACATTAAACAAATCCGGCTCTCTTAATCAATATATATATATATATATATATATATATATATATATATATATATATATATATATATATATATATATATAAAGAAGTGATATTGACTTATTGAAAACCCCGAGATAAATATAAGTACTGGTCTTTCCACTACGATTAATTTATAGATATAATGACTAAACAGACTAATTTATGGATATAATTAATGACTAAAACGTAGAACTGAATAATTGTATGAACATTATGAAGGCATCACTTTAGTACCAAATTTCAATAATTTTTATAATACTATATTCAATCCAAATAACTTAATTAACTAACTAAATAAGTTGGGCATTACTATTTAGTATTTACCATAATCAATAATATAATTGAACTTAATTAGAGTATTCATGGATCTGAACTCAAGCAATGGATTTCTGAAAGACATAAACAACACTAAGCTAACTATGTGTGAGCAAAGGATATTTAAGTTGAACAAAACGAACATGAATTTAAAAATTCACATGTTCAATAACCTCAATAAAAATATATATATATATATATATATATATATATATATATATATATATATATATATATATATATATATATATATATATATATAAATGAACATCTAAGTTAATAATAGGGTATTAATAATTACAACCACACCCTTGAAACAGTTACCTGAGCCAAGATTTCATGTCATGGGAACCAATATGCATTATATTTGTTTCCCACCAGGCCGTAATGCTATCATAGACGAAAATTTATAAATCTTATATAAAATAATAAGGATTTAAGAAATGTTAGGAGAGTTATGTCACCCCTAGCTCTATGCATGTGTTGTCTTCACCACTGCCAGAAACTAATAGTACGTTAGATTCCTAACAGAATAACATATCCAATGCATTATTCCGTTTAGGGTTGCTAACAATATTTTAGGGGGTGATTGTAATTACCGATACTACAGGGACCTTAGAATTATTTTAGCATACCTTAGGAATATGGGTGTAATTTATCGTTAATAATAAGTAACTCAAAAAAATTTAATTAGTAATTTCGTTAAACACCTTTCACTAATGCAAACATTAATTTCCATTAAACTAAACAACGATAAAGATTAATGAAAAGAGAAAGCCGAAAGCTGAAATTAGATTCTCAAGAATTACTTAATGGATAAGCTTTTTATAAAAAAAAAATGGTAAACCCACATGATCTAAACATATGAGCTGTTGCAGAAAGAGGAAACAAATGATTTTGTATGAAATATTTATTAATTAATGTTTTTGTAATTATTCAGTTCAAAGAATCTGATCAGACTATGGTCTCCCAGATTCAAATTCTTGATCTAACAAAAATTAAATAAATAAATAAACCTCAGTTTCAAGAATTCCGGTAATAACGCTCAAGGCACTTTGTCCCTGCTGGCTCTCTTGTCTTTACAGTCAATATTTTTTTTTTTTTTTTTTTTTTTTAGTTTGCCTCGAAAAAGAGCTTCTTCTCATAACTGTCTGCACGTGTTTCCATTTATTTACATTAAAGAAAATAAAAAAGAAAAAAAGAAAAAAGGAAAACCCTAAAAAATAATACTACATGAAGAAGAAGCCCATACCTCTTTGCATCTGTAATATTTTTTCGAAACCTTCAATAGATAATTGGATATTATAATTAAGTCCTTCTTCTATATACTCGTGTTAATCCATGGTTTTTGTAACCTCAAATATTACTACGACCGGTACGTTATTTGGGGTGTGTATTTCGAAATGGAGAAAGTTGGACAGAGTTTTTGACTCAGAAACGAAGAAACGGTTGAGTAAAAGATTACGTTTTTTCTCCTTAAGACAAAATTGCCCCGTAACAGTGTTACAGTTATGGCAATTGCCTCAGAAGAAACAACGACTTATAGTTCCAACTGAGTAGCACGTGTTTTTGGACTTAATGACACGAAGGAAAAGAATGCATATGCTATGAGTGCTTTTGACGAGTTGAGTAAGTTGCTGGAAAATCTAGGTCTCTATATTTATAGTTTTCAGAAGTTGTGATGAATAATTAAACAAACATTTATTTTGAAACGGAATGAGTAGTGACATTTTTCCAATAAAGAACACTAAAATTAGGGTTCTAACTAAAACATTTTTTATCAATGTGGTAATGATGTGTTTTCAAACTTTTTATTTCAATTGAGTATTTGATCTTATATAACTTTGAAAGTAAAATGCAAAAAAACAAAAAATAAAAAATAAAAAAATTTAGGAGCTATCATCAGAAAAAAATTAGAACTACAACAACAACATAATCATTTATCATTATCAATATGATCAACATATTCGGTCTTCGTCATCATTGAACCGATGAAACCGAATAAAATCCTAGAATAAAACTGACCAGAAACCCGATAATTTACTTAAATTAAAAAAGGGAAAAAAAATCACAATTTAATCTAAAATACAGTAAAAAAAAAAACTTACCTCTAGAACTGATTCTTGATAATTTCATTAAAATCAACAAAAGAAAAAAGAAAAAAAATTAAAAAAACAAAAGGAAGAAGAAGAGTAGCATAGTTACCTCGTACATAACAAATGAAGCTCTCTAAAATGGCGGCCTACCGGTAGCCCAAAACTCATCGTTCGGCATCTGAATGGAGTTCAACAGATTCGGCGGCATCCCTTGAAACAAGGAAGGATCTGCTAATATCTGCTGCTGCTGCTGCAACGAAGGCGGCGGCGCCGCCCGTCCACCGCCGCCCTGCGGCGGCGATCCAAGAGAGTTTCCCTGACCCTGGACACCATTCTGATCATCTTCCTCCAGCGGCAGCCTCTCATACGCGGCGTTACTGAACGAAGCCGCCATTACGATAACAGGCCCGGATGCGACGAGCGGCCCCACCACGCCGCCGCCCACCACCTGGCCCTGGCCTCCGGCCAAGTATATCGTCAACCCCGTCGCCGCCGGAGGAGCGGGCGGCGGGAGGAAGGATCCGGAGAGAGACAGGATCTCGAACCTCCCCTGCAGAGTGACCACCGCCCCCGGCGAGGCCGGCTGCCTGAGGGTGACGTTGGTGACGTTGCCGCTGCCGCTCATGATGCAGACGCCGCGCTGCCGGCTCCGGGCGAAGCTCGCCACGCTGTCCATGACGTCACACCCGTCGGAGATTTCCATCACGTGGGTTCGGAGCGCGTTCGCGCTGTCTCGGCTGATTATGATCGGCGGCTTGGGCCTGTTCTTCGATCCCGACGGCCGGCCCCTCGGCCGTCTGCTTCCGCCGCCGCCGGACATCTCCCCTTCATCGGCGCCGCCGTCCTTACCGGCGGAATCGATATCGCCTCCGCCGCCGCGGTGGCGCTTCTGGTGATGCTGGCCCATGTTGAGGCCGGTGGTCTCGCTCTGCTCGTCCTCGGAGTTCTGCGTCTGGTGGTGGTGGTGGAACTGGTGCTGCAGATTGAAGTCCCTCGTGTGAAACGGCGGCGGAAGCGAGTGGTTATCCATTTTTATTTCTTCTTCTTCTTCTTCTTCTTCTTCAACAATCAGCTCTGTAACTGAAGAAAAAGATTTAATTTGATGGGTTCTTTTTTTTGTATAAAGGTGAATTTGTTGGGGTTTCTTTATTTAACAGAAAAAAGTATATTCCGGCCGTAATCAATGAATCAATCCCACCACACCATGTTGTAGCTAGCTAGATATCTTCACTTTACAGGATTTATTTACGGCGGCGGAGATCTTTTTTGGTGGCGGATGTGCTGTAAATCGTGGAGGGTTTTCAGGGTCACCGATGAAATTTTTTTTTTTTTTTTGTGAGATTTGGGTTTTTGGTTTGTCTTGTTCGATTTTCTGGTTTTAGGGTTTCATTTTTCTAATAATATGTTAACATACTAATATTAATTTTGTGGGACCTCTCTCTATCAACAATACATACACACTATGTACGTACACTCGTAATTAGTGGTGTAAATCAGCTGAGCCGGCTCGTCACCTCGTTGAACTAACTCGATGAAAGCTCGAACTCGAATTTTTCGAGCTCGAGTTCTCTAACGAGTCTAGTTCGAGCTCATTTTTAGTTGTTTCTGAGCTCGCGATCCGGATCGCGAAACTTTTTTTTTTTTTTTTTATGTTTAATATAATTAATATATAATAAATAATAAATTCATATAAATAATAAAAAAAAAGATATAGGTAATTTTTTATTTCGAATATTTTTTATTATAATTTATAATGATATTAATAAAAAAAATATAAAAATAAAGAAAATACACAAATGGCTCAGTACTTGAACTCAGAAAAACAATACTCGATGGCCTCGAGCTCGCCAAAATCGGCTCGTTTACACCCCTACACGCAATCGAGAAGATTATTTGGTTCAAGAAGAGATGGTGATCTAGTTAGTGGAGTCAAATAGTGCGACGTTATTTTACTTTATGCGAAATTCAATTTCTTTTTCCAACAGCTTTTATGGTCGATCAAACTTTTTGGTAAATAGTTAGTATGATTGTTTTATCATCGATCTTGTCAAATATAAAAAAAAGAAGTGTATCTATATATATGATGCATCAACACATCACCAAAATAATGCTATGATTAATGTAGTTTATATTAGCCGTATATTTATTTATATTAACCATATATTTATTTACATATATATTATAGATAAATATTGTATTATTGGTATGTATATCTCCTAGTTCCCTTGTGTAAAGGGTTAGGGTTTCACACATGTAATATATATATCACAATAAACGTGAGAGATAATTATTCTCTCTTCTCTCCAATTATTCTTCTTCTATCATGGTATCAAGCCAAAAACCCTAGCCGTCGTTTCTCTCCTTCTTCAATTTTTTTTTCGTTCCTTCTTCTGCTCTACATCCACCATGGCCGACGAAACACCAACACCGACCATGATTTCCAACCCCTTTCATCTTGCTCATGCCATATCCAACATCAAAGCTCTCATTCCTGTAACCCTGGATATCAAAAATCCGAACTATCAAAAGTGGAGTCATTTCTTCATCATCACCGCAGGCCGCTTCTGCCTCACCGATCTGCTTCTCGGAAACGCAAAGCCCACCAACATCTCCGCCGACGAATGGCAACGCGCGGATTACCTCCTCCAATCTTGGATCTATGGCACCATAACCGAGGACCTCTCAAGCATGGTCCTCTCTAAAACCGCAAAGGCTCGTGATCTGTGGAAGGCCCTCGCCTCTCTCTTTACAGACAACGAAGACTATCGGGCCATCCAACTCGAAGAACAGTTCAAGTCCCTCAAGAAAGGATCTCTTTCGATCCATGACTATTGTCAACTTCTCAAAACCACTGCCGACAACTTGGCAGACGTCGGCAACCCCGTGTCAGACAAGCAACTCGTCCTCCAAACCCTCCACGGTCTACCAAAACATTACGGGACCATTGTCAATCTAATCTCCTTCCAAACTCCGTTACCCTCTTTTCTCCAAACACGTTCACTACTCCAGATGGAAGAACAGCGCATTGCTGAACCGGAGCAAACCCCTACTGCTCTCTACGCATCTCGCCCCAACAGTTGCAACAGTTGGCCGAACAGTTCCAACAGTTGGCCCAACACTCCCAGCAATTATCGAGGTGGTGGTTCTTGGCGCAATCAGCGAGGTGGCGGTCGCACAAATCGTCGTGGCGGTCGTGGTCAGTCACGACATCCGATGCAACACTACGGTTACAATCAATTTCATAACCAATCGCAACCTTGGCGGGCCCCTTATACGCCTCAGACATCTTCATCGATTCTTGGACCCCCCCCAAGCTCTCCTGGTCATTATCATGCTCCTACAGCTCATGCTTATTTCGTTGGACAGCAAGATCCCCAACAGCACGTGAACTGTTCCAACAGTTCGTCGAACAGTGGTCCCCTACCGCCAACAGATCTTGCCACTCATCTCAACACGTTGACTCTTCAGTCATCGAGCGAACCTCAGTGGTTTATGGACACGGGCGCCTCATCTCACATGGCACCTCACTCAGGTAATTTCCATTTTATTTTTAATCCTAGTAATAATTTCCCCAAGCATGTCATCGTTGGTAATGGCTCCACTGTTCCTATCCATAAAATTGGCCACACCATCCTACCATCTACCCCATTTCGTCTAACCAATGTCTATGTTACTCCTCACATCATCAAGAACCTTGTGTCTGTCCGAAAATTCACTAGAGATAACTCTTGTTCAGTTGAATTTGACCCTTATGGTTTTTCTGTGAAGGACCTTCGGACCAGAGCAGTCATCCTCAGGTGCAATAGCTCCGGTGATTTATACCCTATTGGCGCCCCTTCTCCCATCCCATCCGCAACCGCCCTCCTTGCTCACACCACGCCTGCCTCCTCTACTACATGGCATCGTCGTCTCGGTCACCCGGGAAACCCTGTCATGTCTCGTCTTTTTTCTTCCAATTTTATTTCTAGTACCAAAGACCCACGGGAGTCTCTTTGTAATGCTTGTCAATTAGGCAAACATTCTCGCTTACCTTTCTTTACTAGTCATTCTATTACCGTTGCACCTTTTGAAATTATTCATGCTGATTTATGGACCTCTCCTATTTCTAGTATTTCTGGTTTCAAATATTACCTCGTGTTAATAGATGATTTCACCCACTATACATGGACTTTCCCCATACACTATAAATCCGATGTTTTCTCACTGTTCCAACAGTTTCACAAACTTATACAAACACAATTTCAGCACCCCATTAAAGCTGTACAATGCGATAATGGACGTGAATTCAAAAATACAGATTTTCAAACATACTTTGCTAAACACGGTATCTTACACCGTTTCTCATGTCCCCACTCTTCCCCTCAAAACGGACATGCCGAACGCATGATCCGCACCATCACAAACATGATCCGCTCACTTCTCTTTCAAGCTTCCCTTCCCCCCACCTATTGGGTCGAAGCCCTTCATATGGCTACACATCTCATCAACATCCTTCCTACCAAATCCACACAAAATCGCACACCACATGAATCCCTATACAAATCAAAACCCACATACTCTCACCTTCGTGTCTTCGGTTGTCTCTGTTATCCTAATTTAACCGCCACCACTCCTCACAAACTCGCCCCTCGCTCTACTCCTTGTGTCTACCTTGGTCACCCCTCATCGCACAAAGGCTATCGTTGCCTCGATCGATCAACCGGTCGAATCATTATCTCCCGTCATGTGATCTTTGACGAAAGTCGTTTTCCATTTGCTGAATCCACCGACTCATCCCACAACTCCCCCACCTCTAATATGACCGAACCCATGCACCCACTTATTCTTCTTCCTCAGCCTCCACCTGCCCAACCTACTGTTTCGCACAACTGTCCCAACAGTTCGTCCAACAGCACTACAGAACCACCTACTGTCTCATCCAACTGTCCCAACAGTTCGTCCGACAGTCCTCCCTCAACTCCACCCATGCCCCTCAACCCGGCTGAACCTCCACACCCAGCAGAACCACAGCCTCCCCCTCCCGCTTCCTCACCCCCACCCAACCATCCTATGCTGACACGCAGCAAGACCGGTATTCACAAGCCCAAAATCCCCTTTTCCCTTACCGTGTCTACCTCATCCCCAACTCCCACTACATATCGCCATGCCCTCCTTGATCCAAACTGGCGTATGGCCATGCTTGAGGAATATACTGCTTTGATTAAAAATAACACATGGGATATTGTGCCCCGCCCCCCTTCTACTAATGTTATCAGTGGCAAGTGGTTATATAAGCAGAAATTGAAGGCTGATGGTTCATTGGAACGGTATAAAGCACGATGGGTTGTTCGCGGCTTTGATCAACGCCCTGGCATTGATTTCGAAGAAACATTCAGTCCGGTGGTCAAACCAGCAACTGTTCGGACAGTTCTCAGCATTGCCACCTCTCACTCCTGGCCGGTCCATCAACTCGACGTTAAGAATGCATTCCTCCACGGCAATCTCTCTGAAACCGTGTACTGCGAACAACCACCTGGCTTTGTCGACCCTACTCGTCCCACTCATGTATGTCGTCTTCGAAAGGCTCTTTATGGTCTCAAACAGGCACCACGTGCGTGGTACAAGAGATTTGCCGGCTACATCACCTCTCTTGGATTTATCGAGTGCAAATCGGACACCTCCCTCTTTGTGTATCGCACGGGCTCTACAGTTGCTTACCTCCTATTGTACGTTGACGACATAGTTCTGACAGCTTCCAGCGCAGCCACTCTTCAGTCCATCATTACCAAACTCCACCAAGAATTTGCTATGAAGGACCTCGGCCCCCTACACTACTTCCTTGGCATCTCTGTTACGCGCTCGTCCGACGGGATGGTCCTCTCTCAACGCAAATATGCCGAGGAGATCCTTGAACGTGCTAAGATGACTTCATGCAACCCGTGCCTCACCCCAGCAGATACCAAAACAAAGCTCTCTGCCAACTTCGGCCCCCCTGTCGCCGACCCTTCTCTCTACCGGAGCCTTGCCGGCGCTCTTCAATATCTCACCTTCACACGGCCAGACATCTCTTATGCCGTGCAGCAAATCTGCCTTTTTATGCATGATCCCAAAGAAAGTCACATGGCAGCCCTCAAAAGAATCCTGCGATATCTTCGCGGCACTCTTGACTACACGCTTCACTTCTACCGCTCTAGAGACATGTCTCTTATTGCATACTCAGATGCCGATTGGGGTGGATGCCCTGACACTCGTCGCTCCACCTCGGGCTATTGTGTCTTTCTAGGAGACAACCTTATCTCTTGGTCTTCCAAACGGCAAGTGACAATCTCTCGCTCAAGTGCGGAGGCCGAATACCGGGCTGTAGCTAATGCCGTTGCTGAAACGACATGGGTACGTAACCTCCTGACCGAACTACTTTGTCCACCGACGAAAGCAACCATTGTCTATTGCGACAATATCAGTGCTGTCTATATGTCGAGCAATCCGGTTCAACATGCGCGCACCAAACACGTGGAACTTGACATACACTTTGTCCGGGACAAAGTCGCCTTGGGACATGTTCGTGTCCTCCACGTCCCGTCCGCACATCAGTTCGCTGACGTCTTCACCAAAGGACTTCCGGCCCCTCTCTTTCGAGAATTCGTCTCCAGTCTTCACGTTCGCCCATCTCCCGTTTCGACTGCGGGGGTATATTAGCCGTATATTTATTTATATTAACCATATATTTATTTACATATATATTATAGATAAATATTGTATTATTGGTATGTATATCTCCTAGTTCCCTTGTGTAAAGGGTTAGGGTTTCACACATGTAATATATATATCACAATAAACGTGAGAGATAATTATTCTCTCTTCTCTCCAATTATTCTTCTTCTATCAGTTTAATAATTAATTAATGAACTAATTAATTAATAATACTTGTTTTAGCGTATGTTTCGCGAACTGTCAATCAGCTGACCTTTCTTTTGTCTATGTATGAGCTTGATTTCTTGTGCTGGGTCTACTGCTGATTAATTGGTTAAGGTTTTTTTAATAATTGGGCTACATCTATGTAGTATGGACACGGGATTGCGGACACGGCAAAATGGAGAATGAATACGGGAAAAACCCGGTTTTCAAAAAGTTGGATACGCGAATGGGGAAACCTATAAATATTAAAAATATAGAGCTACATCTATAATTTAAAAAAAAATGTTATAAGTTTAACTTAAATACGTATTTATCGTCTATTACATATTTGTTGTATCTATAAATTATATATAAATTACAAGTTCCAAACTGAATTATTATTTCACAAATTGCATCTGAGGTAACAAATTTATTTCAGTGTGGAATTAACATCTATCAAAACATGTGAGAAAAGAGACATAAGATTAGAGATCTTTTTTAAGTGTAGGCAATTATGTATCTTTATTTAAAATGGATGTTGGATTTCTTTTTGTTGGTAACAGGTTTCTGATTTTTCATTATTACAAGAAACACACCAAAACTTTTAAATATTTATGGAAACAATCCCGAAACGTTTCCGACAAATGTCATGGCGTTTCGGTTTCCGAAACGTGGAAACGCACGCGTATAGAAGTTTCCGTGCATCATAGGGCTACATGTAAGATTTTTGAATTTTTTTTCTGAGATTATTATTGCTAATTGATTAGGTCTTATGGAAAGCAAATTATACATATCATAAGGTCGAGTCTATTTAGTTAATTAAAATTAATTTATCACATTGTTTTCAAATTGGGAATAATAAATATTAATAATATATATATATATATATATATATATATATATATATATATATATATATATATATATATATATATATATATATCAACATCCAAACCTTGGAATATGGGTGTAAGTTCAAGTGTTCAACCGTGAAGTCTATATATATGTCGTCTATTTCTCCGTTAAAATGGATGTCTTGAGATTCAACAGCATGTGTGTAACATGTGCTCTGTGTTTGTTTTTTTTACTTTCCCAAGATTTAATTACATGTGATGTTATAAATTTTGGAGCTTTAAGACCTCCTTCCAAATTCAACTCTTTCTTTTGCTGAAAATGATGTTCGGTGATGATATTTGGCTGGCGAGGACGAACTAGTCGACCGAAAAAAGATAAAAAAACAAGAGAGAAAGAGAGAATACGGAACAAAAGTGTATTATTGATTGTTCAATTGTACCCTATTAGGGTACAATACATTCGTTTATATAGAGAACTTATAATTACACATTTCCTAATTTGGATTCTCTTTTTTTGTTCGATTACGTGTATTGCTCAATCACTGATCCTAATTCACATGTTTTCCTTATTTATCTAGGGAGAATATCTTCGAATCTTCTTCTTTCAATGACTCTCTCGCCATCCATCGTCTATTACATGTGTTCGGATGAGCTGGCGAGCTCGCTACCGTGATATCTGATCAGGGGCATCGTTTTAGGAAGTTTGGTACTAACAAACATTTTTTGGACGAGCTTCAGAAGAGACCTTGTTATTGACACCTAGTGGTCGGTGGGCCACTAAATTTCTTGTGGCCAATATATTTGTCCTTATAATATTTAATAAACCCAATATGGGGGGCTTTGGCTCAACTTTATCAAACGGACGCACAACAACTACGGTTGGTCTTTTATATGTAAAATCTTCACAATTTTGTTATTTTGTAAGTTCATACATGCGTATGGATGGTAACTGATTAGTTTTGGGACTGATTTGTCCTAGCTAAACTCGAGATCTGGTTCGTGAAAAATACATGAAATCCAAACCCGCCTTGATCCATGTTAAATAAAGCTAGACTCATCTCGACCAAGTTTAACGAATCTGACTAGCTTCTCGACGAGTTGAGATTTTCCGGCTCCAGCTCGAACTTGCATGAGCTTCATTGAGCTCGAGCTCGAGTTCGAGCTTTTGTCGAGTCGAGTTCACAAGCCGGCTCAACTCATTTACCGGCCACCCCTACCAATTATTAAGTGCATGCCAATTTATTTTTAAAAATAAAACATAATACCCACTTTATCTTATTCTTCCAAACTATTTTTCTCTAAGTTTTCGACAATATTATTTTGTAGGGGTGAGAAAAAAAAACTGAGGAACCGAAGAACCGAATCGAAAACCGACAAAATCGAACCGAAGCATAAACCGCATACTTGGTTTTCAATTTTATGTGAACCGAAAATTTCGGTTCGTATTTGGTTTTCCAAGTAGGAAACCGAACCGAGGAACCGAACCGACATCAATACGACATCGTTTCATTAAATATATTTTTTTTTTACTTGAATGAATTTCATTGATTTTTTGGTTTGTTTTGGGCCTACATTTGGGCTTGTTTTTTATTGATTTTTTTATTTCTGAATTTTGAGTTAATTTATTGACGTTTTTTGGCTGATTTTCAGGCCCAAATGAGCTCAAAACCAAACCGAAAACCGAACCATTATTGAAACCGAATCGAGAATTTTATGAACCGAGAAAGAACCGAAACTGAACCGAAACCGATTGAAACCGAAACGCAAGAAACCGATCGATTTGATTTTTTGTTCTTTAGGAACCGAACACTTCGGTTCTGGTTCTGGTTCCGGTTTGTGCCTAAAACCGAACCGAACCGTTCTCACCCCAATTATTTTGCTATACAATATCAGATCAGTAATCATCAAGAGCATGAATTTATTGAATTTGGAACCTAATAAGATCGAAAGTGCTGTAATTTTTTAAATTTTGCGAAGTTTTCCCAGGTCGAATTTTTACATATTTTTTGTGTTTTAATTGAACAAAATCCACCCAAACACTCATCACTCTTAAGTACAATCCTCCATTTTTTCTATATTTAAGACAAATCTATGAACAAATTTTGAATTAAATAGCTTTTTTAATTTAATTCTCAAAGTTAAAACCCCTAGTTTTTATCATTCATTGATTTTTTTACAAGAACAATTATTTAAAATTAATAATATTATTTTAATTTTAGTCTGATAGTGAAAACTGAAAACCAGCCCACTCTATTTAAAAAGTGAATTCAAATTGGCACCTAGCTTTTTGTAAGTATTCTGCCACCACATGTGGCTGAGAGGAGAGAGAGAGAGAGAGAGAGAGAGAGAGAGAGAGAAATGGCTTCTCTCTCTACACCATCACTCTCAAAACTGTTGACTTCACTCCGCCTCTTTTCTTTCCCGAGACGGCAAATTGGAGGTGATGAATTCACCGGCAAACGGCGTTTCTCTGCCGGCGTTTCTCTCTCTCATAATTTCTCTCCCTCTTGTTGTTTCTCACTGCAGTAGAAACACTCCGCCGCTGATTTTCAACTTCGGCGACTCTAATTCAGACACCGGCGGCTTCACCGCCGGCACCGGCCTCGTCGCCGGATACCCCTACGGCCGCGCATTCTTCCCCCGCCCAACCGGTCGAGCTTCCGATGGACGACTGGTCATCGATTTCCTCTGTATGTTGTTTCCCTAATTCTAATTGAAATATTTTGTTCGAATTTTTATTGAATTTTTCGGATTAGGGCTAAATTCAATTTATTGGGATCCAATTTTTGTAGATAGCCATAGATGAACTAAATTAATGTCAAATTTGGTACTATTCAATCCACAGGTGAAAATCTGGATACCCGTTACTTGAGTCCGTATTTGGATTCGTTGGAACCCGATTTCACTAACGGAGTTAATTTCGCAATATGTGGCGCGTGCGCTCTCCCTACATTTGTTCCTTTCAATTTGAACATTCAAATTCTTCAATTCAAACTTTTCTACAATCGTTCGTTGGAGCTTCGCGCCAAAGGTACGTTAAAAAGTTCGGGATTCTATTGCAATTTAATATATTTGAAATTAGTAGGTTTATGAAATTAAGAGTTTATACCCTTTTTTTGACATGAAGAATGCATTAGGTAGGACAAATTTGGTCGGGGAAGAAGATTTCAAGAATGCACTTTACACTTTCGACATCGGACAAAATGATCTATCGGGCTCATTTGGTGCCCTTTCGTATACACAAGTCATTGAGAAGATTCCCTCTTTTATATTTGAAATCCGGGATGCAATTTCGGTGAGCAGTCTTTCCCACGTTTTTTATTTTATTTTGGGGATAAATGTTTTGGGAGGAGAATTTGAAAATGAAGTAATGTTTGTTTGTACTTTGAGAAGAGACAATTTGTACTGTAGCATTCCAATAGTATTTTGGAAGATTTTTTTTTTCAAAATAAAGTGATTTTTGTTTATATTTTAGTTAAGATATTTTTTTACTGGGGCAGTCAAATCTTGTTTGTAGGAGCGACAATTTTTTGAATTTTTTTGGGGAAAGTGTTTGAGAAATGTAATGTTATTTGAGTAATTTTAGAATTACTTAGCCTTTAATGAGTATAACAAGGTCTCAACGAGTTTCCCTTGTACGCTCTAATTAAATTATAGCTTTATCCCGAAAATTTGTAATCTTTAGTAGTTTTATATAGTTGAAATTTTATTGCATCTTGTCTATTTGGCATTATATATACTAATCAAATACATGTAATATAGGCAATACACCTACTCGGTGGGAAGAATTTTTGGGTACACAACACAGGGCCGTTGGGTTGTTTACCTCGAGAACTTGCCATAAGAAGCAATTTAAATGCAAGTGATTTCGATCAATACGGATGCATAAAGTCCATGAACGAAGGTGCACAAGCATTCAACACCAAACTAAATGCTCTTATTCAAGAACTACGGTCTGAATTGGAGGATTCCACTATTGTTTATGTCGATATGTACTCTATCAAGTACGAACTCATCTCCAATTCCTCAAATTACGGTAATAATTTTGTTTTCCTACGTACTTATTTAAAACTTGGGGTTTTTTTCCCGAGATATTTCTCATTTATCGAATGTGAATTTTTAAATGAAAAAAGGTTTCGAGAATCCATTAATGACATGCTGTGGATATGGTGGAGCACCTTACAATTACGATTCGGACAGAAATTGTCTCACCAGTGGATTTACGGTGTGCGAAGAAGCGACCCCACACATAAGCTGGGATGGAACTCATTATACGGAGGCTGCTAATACCATTTTTGCCTCCAAGATACTTTCGACCGATTATTCCACTCCTCCGTTGGAGTTTAGCTTCTTTTGCAACAATGCTAGAGTATCTTCGACTTAGATTGATTCTCGAGCTGATTACGTTTTCTATTGGTAATAAAAATGTTGAAGAAAAGTATTTTAGTTTTTTTTTTGGATTTTGTTGTTATGTAACATGGATTGATATGTGTTGTAGAGTGTGTGATATGATCCAATAAAAAACACGCCTGGAAGGCAAGATAAGTCATGATAACATGATTTTTGCTGGTCGATCCGATAAGTTATTGGAAATACTAAACATCAAACAAAGGCTAATTCTTTAGTTAATCATGCAACCAAACGAGGCCTTAGTGTTTTCGTGTTAGGCTTTACCAGTGCCATTAAATTTGTTGTTGAGAAATTCCTCCACCTTGTCATCCAGTTCTTCCACCTGCATATTCCATCGCCACAACATAAGCTCCTTAGAAAATCCTTATTTATATTGGGTATTTCCACATTAAAAAGAAAAGGAAGTTTTATAGAGATTTATGATTTATCAATTTAATTGACAATGTATTCGAAATAATAAACAAAATAAAATTAGAGTAATTAATTGTATAATTCGATATTATTTTGTATTTCAATCATGACTTGTTATTAACAAGGATCAAGTTAATTAAATATATAATTATAATCATTCTTATATATCCTGTATCACTTATTTGTAGGGGTGTTCACTTGGCTGATAAATCGACCGAAGCGAATCGAATCGGAAATTCGGTACGTGCCAAATACCGAACCGAAAATTTGGTTCGGTATTTGGTGAAGATTTTTTTGAAATTCGCTATTCGGTACACGAAATATTTAATAAATATTTTTTTTTCTTTTTATTTAGATTCTTTAAAGTTATAGCAAACTATAAAATAATTTTAGATTGATAATTTTTTTCATTATTTACAATTAGCCTCTATGATAATCAATATTTTAGGGTCGATTATTGAAATTTGAATGTCAAATTCAAGATTTAATTAGTTTAATTATTTCTTACATTTTTCAAAATATTGAAATATATTTTTGGTTTTACCGATATCGAACCGAAAAAATCGAATTAATATGGTAAAAAAATGCACCGAGCCGAATAATTATGTTCGTATACATTTTTAAAGTACCGAAATCCCAATATTGTACATAATGAACACCCCTAATTACCTCACACACAACCCTCATGGCCACTAGTGAGGTCAAACTAAAAAAAAGTAAAGAAAAAGAAAAAAAAAACCAAAAAGTTGACTTTGACTCATAGATTGGATCAAATTACTAACTTAGAATATGTCTCAGCGGTCACGTGCCTACTCAGTAATCACTAATCAGATCCAACCACTACATTAATAAATTTAAATAATGTAGCCCCAGTTACTATAATAAATGCGAATCCAATTTTTCAATCTACTAATTAAAAATAATAATGACTTATAAAATATAGGGTAAATTACACCCACACCCTTGAGGTATGCTTAAATAACTTTAAGGTCCTTGTGGTATCGATAATTACACTCAACCGTTTGAAACGTAGTTATAAACTGTAATGGGATAATGCATTGGATACGTTATTACGATAGAGTTCTAACGGTCTATTGGTTTCAAGAAGTGGTGGAGACAACAAAGAGTTATGGGTGATTTAAGACATATTGGGGGAGCCATGTCACCCCATAGCTCCCCATAATTCTATATTATCTTCCCCACTAGCTAAAAGTAATAGTCCATTAGAATCCTATCGGAATAATATATCCAACGCATTATCCCGTTAGAGTTTCTAACTACGTTTCAGGGGGTGAGTGTAATTATTAATACCATAGGGACCTTAAAATTATTTAAGCATACCTCAGGGGTGTGGGTATAATTTACCCTAAAATAAATAAAAATTAATAATGATAATAAATATGTACCTTGTCCATCAAATCTTCGACTTTCTGAGCATCCTTAGCTGTTTCTTCAGCCAAAACTTCAACAAACTTAACAACTTTCTTGAGCCCACCTTCCGGCAACCCCGCCGCAATACCTTCGGCGGCTTTATCCACCTCCTCCGCCACCTTCTCCACCGCGTCCGCTATTTTCTCCACCGTCTGTGCCGCCATATCAACCTCCTCTATTTTTTACAAATTTAATTTATTTATTAAAATATTTGATAATTAACTAGACAAAATTAATATTAATATTTAGATAGCAAATATTTGGGATTTTGTGTCCCTTATTACTTGTTAGTGTTAATAGCCTTTGGACCACCATGGGTAACACCACAAACAATCCAGCTGCACCAGCTAACCTGTCACAACATATTATTAATAAAATAAAATTTTGCAACACAAGAATTTCATATTATTATTATTATTGTTGTTATAAATAATAATAATAATAATAATAATAATAATAATAATAATAATAATAATAATAATAATAATAATAATAATAAATGGACTTCGCCCCCTAAAAATTTTCAATTTTTGCACTTTCCTCCAAATTCAAGAAAAAAAAAGAAAAAAGATTCGCCCCTTCAAAATTTTATTTCAATTTCACTTTGCCCCAAATTACAGTTTTCAGTGTATGCCATGAATACGTCCAACTGAAGTGCAACTAGAACAAAATTTTGAAGAGGAAGTGTCTCATTTATCAATTTATAGGGGGGAAAGTGCAAAAATTAAAATTTTCTGGGGACGAAGTGCATATAAATATTTAGGAACTTGATTGAATTAAACCTTTTTTTGAATAAAATTGAATTAAACCATGCATATAAATAATGGTTTATAATAACATGAAAAGAACACTAACAAGGGATTGTCTCCGGCGAGAGAGATCACCGGTATGCCGCCGGTGAGAGAGAAAGAAGAGAGAACATCTACGGCCGCGGTTGCTGCTTCCGGTGTAGCATTTCTTACGACCAAATTCCTGCAATCAAAGCCCACAATTTCACACACACACACACACACACATATATATATACATACATATATATAGATAAGGTTTTGATTTGGTACTTGTTTGATGGTGTCTGCAAATTACTCCGGCGGCGGCGGCGGAGAAAGAAACATATTTGCCGATCATTAAGGAGAGTAGAAGCAGCTGATGATTTGATAATACTTGTGTTATTGAGATGAATGGTACTACTGATGATGCAACAAGTACAACAAGATGCGGCCATGGATTTGTTTTCTTCTTCTTCTTTTTTTAACTGAATTCGATCAGTGAAAAAAGAATGTATATATGGAAAATGAATGTGATCGTGAACTAATCGCAATATATGGAAATGGAATTATGATAAGTTTGAATTTTATAATAATTAATTTTAATGGAAAATGCCACGAAGATACGGTTACCATGGCTGCTGTATCTATCTTAATTGCCTCGTGTTAGTTTGACTTTCGTGCGAAATGGTTCTAATTCTTTTGATTTTTCCTACTATTTTTTTAATAACATTATTATTTTTAGGGATTATGATAAGTGTGTGTGAATGTCGTGCGAAGTATTTTTGAAGAAAAAAATTGAAAGATGAAGTGATGTTTATTTGTGTTTTAGTGAAGACATTTTTTACTGTAGCAGTCACATCATGTCTGAAGGAGAGAAAAACTTTTGAAATTGTTTTGAGAAAATGATTTAAAATGTGTAATAAATCCCATTTTGTTTTGGGTAAACAATAAAAACAAAATAGAAATTGTTCCAAACATTGCCAAAGACTTTCTTTGAAAAGCCCAAAGCCCAACCACAAGCCACAAGCTCGATCGGCAAATCAATATAATATCACCATTTATCATTTGTCAATTATGAAACACCTTAAAACTCAGAATTATACATTTTTAAGTTTTATTCTTTAAGTTGATATTGTGGTACATCAATAAACCCAAAATAATTAACAACTTTTAAGCAATTAATTACTACCCAAATGAATTATAACATCCCATGAATAAATATTAAGGTATGCCCAATTTTGTTAAACTTCTATGATAAATGGTCCATTAATCTCATTTTGTTTTGAACGTGGAAGCTCTTCAATTAAAGAGTTAAAAGTTGTTTAATTTAATAAATTAATTAAAACTTGTAAGTGTTACGAGATGTTATTTATGAATACCATGCTGGTTAGTTGTTAACATCTTGCAACTCAGATTTGTGGCCGTCTTCTCTCCGCTATAACCGGACACACTCCTCAACAATACATTAAAAATAAAAGAATACGTAGAATGTGCATACGTCCTCTTCTATCGTCTAAAAGTATTTTAGAGGTTGTGTCATTAAGTAGTTAGAGACGATTGCCTGGGCTTGCTATTTTATTGTTTGTGCTCGATCGATCGCGAATAGTATATTCTTCTAATATAATGCGTATTATGTTTTTAGATGTTCTTAAGATGAATTTGATTTCAAAATTTTATCATTAAAATTTCGGCGTAAAAAAATAATATAAGTCTAACAAACTTACTAAAATATGACAATTTTTTTTTTATTGAATAAGCATGGAAGGTACATGAAATTAAAATAACAAATAATGAATTAATTATTAATAATGGAAGTTTATGTTATATCAACTCTATAACTAAATTTTAGTTTGGGACAATATAATAAGTTCAGTTAACAATCTGCCTATTTTTTTCTCTCAACAAATCTTTCTTATTATCCTCAACAAATTTTGGTGATTTGTTGCCTGATTCTTTGTGAGTTTGGTGGATGATTTGGGCGTATAAGTGCACCCTATTCCCTTTCTTTGTGAGGATCGAGAAAAAGAGACGAGGAAAAAGTGAATACTTTGTGTATTTTGAGAGGAAAAATTAGAGTTAAATAGAGATCCTTTTTTGAGAACAAAAGCTCAATTCTTTTTGGTGAATTCGAGCTTACTACTTTAGGGATAAACCGGTGAGATTAGGGTTTGAATTTGGGTTTTCGTTTTTCTTTTGTTTTTTCGTTGGAATACACTGTGTGTATATGCGTGTGTGTGGTTTCCGTGAGTGTTAAGAGGCCCCACATGGATCTTGGACGAGAACTCGGAGATTGAGGACTGAGCCGGAAGTTGAACCCCTGCTGGAGCAGCCGTCAGAGGATTTATCGTTTGCAATTCTGTGTGAATTGCTCGATTATGTTCCTTACCCTTATTTATTTTCGACATTAAATAAATCATTTTTTATTCTATGTTAATTGGGCATTAATATTTAGATTAAACTATTGTGATACGTGATTGCTTCACATTCTGTTTTCATAACTTGTTTCAGTTAAGTTGTTGATGTCTACGCCTATTATCTTCTGTAAGGGTGGTAAACGAGCCGAGCCGGCTCGAAAAAAGCTCGAACTCGAGCTCGAGCTCGAGCTCAAAATTAGTTGTTCGGCAGCTCGCGAGCCGCCTTTTTTTTTTTTTTTTCTTTCTTTCTTTTTACATATATATATATATATATTATTCTTATTCTTATTCTTATTATTATTAACTAAATAGTAAATAATCTATAATAATAAATATATCTAGTATTTAAATAGAAACAAATCTATATTACTTAAATAATTCATAATAATATAAAATATTATAATAATAATAATAGAAAAAATAAAAATATATATAACTAGAGTTCATTATTTATTTTATAATTTTTTTTATTTGCCTATGAATAATTTTTAATAAAAAATAAAATGATTTTAATAAAAAAATTAAATAATTAAAAAAAAATTAAATAAGTTCGAGCTCGAGCTCGAGCCAAAAAAAATTGGCTCGATGAGCTCGAGCTCGGCAACATGGACTCGAGCTCGAGCTCGAGCTGGCCAAAAGAGCCGAGCTCGGCTCGTTCCCACCCCTAATCTTCTGTAGTGGTTATTATTAGGATTAATATTTTATTTTTAAATTACTTCCAATAAAATATTATGGCTACATATAAATTGATTATTTCTATGGCTCTGTTGGATGTTTTTCTCCGGGCGGATACCCAACAGTGGTATCAGAGCGTTGTTAAGGATCCGTATGGAGCGGCATATGAAACCCTGGTCCAGGGGTTTCGCTCAGGTATAAATCTCTACTCTTGCTGAGTTGATTTATTCTTTGTGATAATTATACATGTTATTGGTAAATCTTGCTAATTCTTTTATTTATTGCTTCCGCTAATATTTTGTGTGAATTTGTGTGATTCTTTATCTTTGTGATATTTGAAAATTGGAATCTTTGTGATTTGATTTTGCTCTAAAATTGTGAATCTTTGTGATTCTATGTTAGCTTGGGTTTGGCAGCAATTGTCCACGTGGTGGAGGCCCGGGTATGGGCGGCCCACAATCGAATGTCGTGGACGCTTGTGTGTGTTGAATGCACTATAAGGCTAGGGTTTGCGCCGCTTTTCTATTTGGCAACAGAAAATGAAAGGCATTTTAATCCATAAAAAATGTTTCAAATCGATTTCTCTAAGTGAGGAGGTTTTTACAACTGTTGCTAAATTTGAAGAACTTGATAATCTTGATTATTCTGCTATTATCTTGAAACTTAGTGATTATGTGATTAGAAAAGTAGGAAAGCATGATTCTGCTAGAAGTCTTTGGGATAAATTGGAAGCGTTTTTTGTTGATACTTCTTTGCCCAACAAAATGTTTTTGCTCGAAAAGTTTTTTGAATTTAAATTAGACTCAAGCAAAAATATTGATGCTAATATGGATGTTTTTATCAAGTTAGTTCAAGATATTAAATTATCTGGTGATAAGAACATTGATGATTATACCCCTATTGTGCTTTTGAATGCTATTCCTGATGTTTATAATGATGTTAAGTCTGCTATTAAGTATGTTAGTGATAATGTTACATTAGATACTGTGATTAATGTTTTTAAAAGCAAAGAGTTTGAATGGGGAATCAACAGGGATAAAGCATTTGGTGAGGTTAATTTTACTAGAGGAAGTGAGCCTAATTGCTTTCAAAACAACAAGGCTTCTTCTAGTCAAAATGATCTAAGTAAGAAAAGGTGTGGCGATTGGAGTAACTCGAAGGCTAATCCTAATAATAGAAGGTGTTTTAATTGTGGTGATCGTAATCATTTTATTAATGAGTGTCCCAAGCCTAAGAAAAACCAACATAGAGATCAAGTCAATATCATATCCGATGGTGATGTGTTCTAATGTGTTAGAATATTTGCATTACTTTGTGTTTTGTTTGTTTTTAGCATTACTTTGTGTTTTGCTTGTAATTTGCATTACTTTGTGTTTTGCTTGTTTTTTACATTACTTTGTGTTTTATTTTTTAAACTTGTACTAACTTTGTGTTTTGAGTGCAGGTAGTGTCATATGGCAATGATGACTTCGTTTCTCCTAAAAAGGTCCCGATGATCCATTTGGGCCAGGTGGAGATTTGTAGAGTGTGGCCCAAATATATTCTTTGTGAATGACCCATTCATTAATCCATCTTGCAACCCCTTACGAGCAACCCACAAAATTTGAGCCCAAAATTAAAGTCAACTCAACCTCACTTTGGTTTTCCCTTTCTCTCTTTCTTCGCCGTTTTCTATCTCGTTGTTTTTTCGGCAGATATTTTCAATCTGCCCCTTTTTTCTCTCAACAAATCTTTCTTTTTATCCTCAACAAATCTTAGTGATTTGTTGCCTGATTCTTCGTGAGTTTGGTGGATGATTTGGGCGTATAAGTGCACCCTATTCCCTTTCTGTGTGAAGGACGAAAAAAGAGACGAGAAAAAAGTGAATACTTTGTGTATTTTGATAGGAAAAATTAGAGTGAAATAGAGATCCTTTTTTGAGAAGAAAAGCTCAATTGTTTTTGGTGAATTCGAGCTTACTTCTTTAAGGATAAACCGGAGAGATTAGGGTTTGAATTTGGGTTTCGTTTTTCTTTTGTTTTTTCGTTGGAATACACTATGTGTGTATGTGGCTGCCGTGAGTGTTAGGAGGCCCCACTTGGATCTTGGACGAGGACTCGGAGTTTGAGGGTTGAGCCGGAAGTTGAACCCCCGCCGGAGCAGCCGTCGAAGGATTTATCGTTCGCAATTTTGTGTGAATTGCTCAGTTCTGTTCCTTACCCTTATTTATTTTCGGCATTAAATAAATCTTGTTTTATTCTATATTAATTGGGCATTAATATTTAGATTATAATATTGTGATACGTGATTGCTTCACATTCTGTTTTCATAACTTGTTTCTATTAAGTTGTTGATATATACGCCTATTGTCTTATGTGGTGGTTATTATTAGGATTAATATTTTATTTTTAAAT